AAAAGCTTCGCCTACTCCGCACTGAAACGTACTGTATTTGGAAATACGTGCACATATACATACATACATAACGACAGACAGACAAACAGACATCCAGCTATATTTGTCAGAAGTAAGCTATAAAAGGGGAAAAACTGTTTTATATCCTAGACTGTTTGCTTCATATAACCGTAAATTGAAATTTTCGGGGAATTAGTACAAAAGTTTGGAAAAACAGCTAGACATGGCCTTGGTGAAAACTGTGAATCGGTTTTTGGTAACTTTCTGAAATCTCATTTCTTGAATAGCGATATAAAAAGGAAAATTTGAAAGAGCATGGAAAAGTGCATCGAAATCTGCCAAGACCTTCTTGTACCTTTGTTTCTCGGCGGGATGTGGCGCTTGTTCAAAAAAGCAAAAATACTTTCTAGACGAACTAATACTTGTTTGCGGGATAGTAGAGTGGTCATAAGTAGGTTCCATGACTTACCGGCAAGTATTATCAGCGAATTTGGCTCTAGACTGTCCGCACGCATACGTTGTCTTCTAAACGAAAAAGAATTCTAACATAATGTATTGTAGAAAGCTAGGAAAGCTTTAGAAACGTTTTTTGAAAAGATTTACTCGGTCGCTAACTTAACATAGGTTTGAGAATTATAACTCTCTTTACTAGCAGAGGCCACAGCTGTTGAGACCCTTTATTAGTCAGGCTATCGGTGCTATCGTCATCTTCATCAAAGCCTTAGCAGTCCACAGATAGAGTTGAGCCACCAGCAAGCATGGTCTGCACTGTTAGTAGATACTAGCAATGATTTGAGTTCATAACAAAGGGTTCTCACAGTTTTGCTTTCGGCTGAAGAAAAAAAGTTTTTCACAGTTGTAATTTAGGTGTTCAGAGAGTATTACGATGTGCTTCTCGATGCTAAGAAGGTGTATGCTCTTGCTGATTTGTCTACTAATGTCGTCGCTGACTATATAATGAACATGGGAAAGATTACTGCTTCGCTGAGGAGTTTCATGTTTGTGAACCGAGTTCAAGTACTAAACTATCACGATTGTGAAGTTGACCTCAAAGACTTTGAAAGTCTTTACAGGTTGTTTATTTCAATGCAAGCATTTGAAAATAAACTATCGTTGCAGAGAAGGAGGAGTCGACACGTATGAAATCCATGAGCTTATGAAGCTGCGGAAGCTGATGCTCAGAGACATAATATCCTACGTCAGTTGAATCGATATTGGTTTGAGTTCGTTTATCATTGCAATGCAACCTCATTCAAGCAGCAATAGAATCAATCTGAGATTTGTTATGTTAGTATGCGAACTGATATTGCTCGAAATTGGAAGTTTTGCGGTATCGAAGTGAGACACTGAGGCATGAAAAAAATTTATTATGGACTTTACTTTATTTCAATTGAATATAATCTCCGTAGCTGGATATGGTACAGTCTCCAGCTGTTGCAATCGCTCGATTGCGAATTTTTCATCTTTTCCTAAATTAGGTTGCCCGCTTTTGGGTGAACGGCTAGTAAAAGTCAAATTGTAGGCCATTAGATTACAACGTTTGATATCATGATTGTCACAGTTGCTACCATCATCGTCATTTACTTACAGATTGACGAATTCAAGCTATTTTATGAGAAAGGACTACATGCGAGAAAAAACGTTCTGCGCAAACTTGATATTGTCATTGCAAAGCATCAGGGACTTACAGCTATTGAGGAGACAGTGACTTGTCTTCGCAACATCTCGCAAAATATTCCACTCCTGAAGGTGCGCTTGAACCATCATGGTTTGCCGATAATTGTTTCGAACCTGCAGAAAAGTAAATTTGTGCGCGGAGAATGGCTCAGTCGTATTCAACGACAAGTAGAGATTGCACAATCTTATTCGGCTACTCCACAGTACGACCAGTGAGTGCCACCTTAAAAGGCTGCTTTTGCCAAAGTGAAAGGTTTCAGGGTGAATTTACTACAGGTCAAAATTTATTTTGCTCATTTCAAACAGGAGAGCATCAAAGAGGAACGGTCTTACAATGTCTTCCTCTTGCTAGGTTCCTTCGCCTTTATCACTTATTCTATTGCATAATAATGCCGTTGCAGCTGAAATCGGAGGAACAATTGGTCTCTATGTAGGAGCGACTTTGCTCACCGTGGCAGAGACGATTGTCTTCTTTTTTGAAGAACGTACAAGAAAAATACTTGTAAAGCCTGCTTATCTATGAGAATCTTACAGTGTTACATTGTTACAGTGTTCTTGCTATTGCTCACCTTAGGAGCTGGAAGTGTCTGAATTGAATCTTGCAAAAGAAAAACATTTTGCCTTGTATACAACGCAACAATTCTAAGCAAACCTTTGTCTGAAAATTGAACCTCCGCTCGAAAATGCGCGTTGGATTTTCCTTTGCCATTGGCTAAGTAGTGTATTCAATTATTATAAATTGTAAACTTTGTTTTCTATGTGCAGATTTCATGATTGAATGAAGGTAACAACGTGAGTTCATTGGCTGAAATGCTTCAAAGTTTTGATAAAGATTTACTCTTGAAATGGTAATCACGATTTCTAGGCACTTTCCGTTAACTAAACTTTTTCTAACAAATTGCGGATTTTAGGTTGTCTACCGTTTGGGACCAAGGCCTTTCACTGACCAGTCAGTATTTTTGGTGAAACCGGTGCA